ATATATATATATATGTCCCACCGTATGTCATAGGTACGATGGGAATGCTTCTCAAAGAATTGGTCTTCATCTTCTACTCTACACAATACTTTCATTATTTTTGAAAGCATCATAAGTGTTAAATTGTAAGAATTATATGAGAAGGATACTAGTTATTAATAGACCAGTCGGTGCTGGTTACTCAATTTCATATTATGACCAAAAGCTTTCCGCATTGGCAGTCGGTTATTATTGACTAGGTTATAGCCTATTCCTAAGCAATTGTTCACGGCACCTCTACTTTATGGGTAGTTCTACAACATTAATTGCATTGCTATGATAGGGAAACACGTGATAGATCTCCGTGAGCTGTTCCAATAATATGATTGCTACCTACAAGCGGTACTTTTCCCATCCAAATTCTAAACAAATTTCGTCCGCTGAGTAGTGAGATTGATCTACGATTAAGGATAGAGACTCATTTCATTTCAATGTGCATCGTCGAGAACACTTTTCCTAAATGGGAGAATACGAATTCCTAATTGATATCACATAAATTATTTTTCCTAAATGAGAGAATACGAATTCATAGAGCAGTTCTTTTTTAGAACATTCGTATTCGTAGAATACGAAAGAAATTCTTAGAGAAAGCAAATACTTATTATAATTAGCATTTTTAACTATATTTATCTTATTTTGAGTTATATTACAATATGTCATATATACAAGTATTATAGACTGTTTTCACGTAGGATTAAAAATCTGATCGCGTTCTTAGCTGGGTTTATTTGATTTAATGAGGAATTGTTACTTAAATAAGTTATATTCTTAAAGAATTACCATTAACTCAAATTTTAAGGTTAGAAGTTACAAACTTTAACATTTGAACTTTTAAACTTAAACTGAAATTTACGTTTGAAATTTACTTTTGGCTATAGTTTAATGTTTTTAAAATATTTATCTCCTCAAGAAATCTAAAATTGCCGAAGAATAATAAAACTAATTCTGTTTTTGCTTTAAAAAATAAGTAAATGAAAACGAAAATGATTCAATTTTAATCAAGAGGAAAAGTTATGTGTTTTTAAAAAAATATCCGGAAAAGCGCTTTAAAGTATGGTGTGAAAATAAATAAAAATAATAATGATTAACTTTCGGCACATTGATCGGAACTTCATGTACTGTAAGACTCAATATTAATGGTTAGATGGCCTAACCTTTTAATACAGATGATGTTTTTCGTTGCAAAAAACGTCTTTTCTCTGTATCGTCTTTTCTTACGCCGGATTCGGATTCTTGACATTCAAAATTTGTTCTCAATAGTTTGGGTCAGAAACCAGTATTTGTACAGTTTTATGTTAATATTACATTTTATCATTATTTCGCTATAATTCGGAAACTTTTCAAGCGAATTTAAATTTTTTTTGGCAAATTCATTGGTCTAGGGGATGTTTTAAGGTGAAAAATTAAACACAGAAATGTTCTTTCTCTGACTGAATATACCTTTTTATCGATAGATTCGGATTTTGAACCATTAGATATAAGAAGTAGTCGAAATCTGGGAAATATGGTCCTAATAGTTGGTCAGGAGAACGGTCCAAAGTTTGTTTCCCTTAATGATAATTTTATTCTTTGCGTATTTCGCCATATTTCGGAAACTTCTTTAAGGGGCTAGAAATATTTTCGCACAACATTTATTCAAAGATTATTCCACACGAAAAAGTAATTTTTTCAAATCATTGTTCTTTTCTACATAATAGTCGAAAAAGATTTGAATTACAAGGTATACAAACCTTTACACCATTTTGAAAAATGCAATTTTATATGGCAATATACAAATTTTAAACGCAATTGATCGAATAGTTTCTGCTATATTCTGAGATTCTTCGACCTCCAGAAATATATTCTAATTACCTTGTCAATAAAAAAAATAAGAGAAATCATATTTAGGAGTTTAACTTAGTCGATACATTAATGTATGGAGAAACGTTGTTTTTGCTGTAAGTTTGGTCAAACGACGTTTTGATAATCGGAGTTTCACTTATTAGGACTCAATCCTAAAAGAATTTGAAAAGAGTGATTTCAAATATGTTAATTAATTTGTACATGCGATATTTTAATACACAAAATCAGACATAAAACATTCTTTTCGTCGGATTTGCAATCCTTACCATCAAAATATTGGAAGTAGCTACAATATCGGAAATATGGACCGAATAGTTTTACTCGGCTTACAAGAGAGCGGCCGCAAGTTCAGATCCCTTCGTTTAATATCAGAGTAAATTTTGTTCATGTTACTTTTTTGAACTCAT